GGGGTTCTTGAACACTTCCAGGGGTAGTGACTCCAGGAATGGCATGCTTCATGGCAAAGCCAGGAACTGAACACAAACTCCTCCAGCCCAAGCCTTAGCCGCCAGCTATAAAGTCCTGAGATGCTTGAGAGGAAACTTTTCCATTGCTATGGCAGTGTGAGGGCTCAATTCACACTACAAGCCCATCAGAAAACCATACTACAAGTAAAAGCTACACATCATGGCCCTTAATTTAATCAGGAACTGTCAACAATTGCCTATACTTTCAGAAGTCTGAGCTCAGCCTCTCACAGAATCTGTTCTCATGTAATCTTTCCTTCTTTTTCTGGCTTATTTGGACCTGATGGCAGTCATTCCCTAACAGGGATCATGCATAACCTTCAGGAACTGGCCCTCTGGAGCAGCAAAAGAGATTGTCTCACAGACCAAGAAGAAGAGGGAAAGACACAGAACTGAACCAAATAGGGTTAAAACAGTGGGAGTGGATTCCATTGTTATTTACTTTATACAAACCCTAGTAAGGGTTAATCTCCTTGCTGCATTTCCCTACTTTTCTTCCTCCTGTTTCTATATGCACTGAGAGGTCACAAGGAAAGTCATTAGGAGGAGGCAGCCTGGCTTGACGGCTAAGCCATTGGATAAGGAACTCTGGGCTCCATCCCAGCACAGCCATGAGCCTGATGCAAGACCTGGGCACCTCCTTTCAGTTCTCTGTCGCTTAATTTCCCTTCCCTTTCCCCACACAGGAACATCTGGTTCCTTCATTTTGCTTGAAAACTCATCTGGACATAGGCTGCTCTTAATGAGGTTGGGTACAGGGCAGGGCAGTACAACTGCAGGCTTGGATGTGGGGTTTAGGTATGTTTGCAATATAAAGATAATGATCTAAAACCCATCTGTACAAAGGTAATCTGTTGAAGGAAGGAGTTTCACTCCACAAATGTAGGACTGGGGACCCATAGGTGGGGAATATAGGAGGTCTTGCCAATCTCTGAGAAACAAGGAAAGCTGAAGCAATGACTACTGCACAAATGGGACATGAAAAACAATTCTCTCTTGTACTTGGGGACAGCACCCTTCTATTTCCTTCTTCCTTTTACCTTTCGCTTTAAAAATAACAATTATGTTTTGTTGTTGTTTTTTTTTAATTACCTCCTTGCCCTCCTCCCTTCTCTGTGTATCTAGGTCATACTCATCTGACCTTATGCTCATACTTTTCCTAGCATTTGCCTCTCTATCTTTGAGGTCTGCTTCCTCTGAACTCTATTCAATTCTCTCCAACTCCATCACCTCCTCACATTGTGAGTTTGCATTAATTGGAGAGAAAGCAATAATAAGAGCCCACCCAGTATGGTTCTTTCCACAATGCCCAGAAGGATCTTTGTTTGAGGCATGTTTTGAAGATCATTGTAAATCAGGAAACAGCAAGGTGGAGTAAAAGGAAACTGGAAAGAGCTCTCAGCTTACGAATGCATAAAGCAAGAACACAGGCCCTCACTCCAGTAATCTGCAGCCAACAGTTACTAGACCAAGTTCCTTGTGCAAAAAGTCATTATTATGACTAACCCATTCTGTATTTATAGACAAGTAATGTTAGAAGACAAACAGTTCAAACAGTGCTCTTGCACTAGATGTTCTTTGCTTTTTTCTGTATGTGATCTTTTATTCCAACATTAATTGTGGTTATAAATCATTCCCAACCTGCTTTGGAATGATTTACAAAAACTCTGTGCTGTTGAAAACACTGACCACTTACATATACAAAATATAAAGCACTCAGCAGCTCCAGGGGTAAAAATTATCATGTATTAGGAATCAAACCCACAGAAGACTTAAGAAGTAATTATCATTAAAACATTTCTCTGTCTGCTCCCACAAATGGCTACGGGTACTTCTGCAGAACACAGAAGACACTGGATGGCAAAGCTATCATGGACAGGTGTCTTTGAGAGGCACTTGAGCCAGGAAAAGTTTTGTTTTCATAAAGGACAACATCTGGAAATGAAAGAATCTTGGCAAGACTGAGTGGTGGCCAGGATAGGGAAGAATTGTGGACACTTAACCACTGTCTGTGACTATCCAGGCCAGAAAGGATGAGGCCAAAAAGCTTGAAAGGGAGAAGAATGGATAATATCTCTTTTTTTGCTGCATGGAAACATATCAGCCCCATGAGGGGGAATGTTATGTGAACAGCCAGGGGTGCACATTCCCTTGAGAGCCAAGGAATGTGGGGCCTTGGCAGGCAGGCCAGGTGCCAGACTGGGACAGAGCAACCTTCTTGCAGCCTCCCTACATTTTGTGGAGTGGTAGGAAAAAAATAAAAATAGAAAGAGCTTGTTAAAACTCACACAACTTTCAGATCAAGTTTTTGTCCTGTTCCACTTTGGAAGTCTCTTGAACAACCTCAGTGCTTCAAAGCTGAGGCTGTAAATCTCCCAGTCTCCCAGAAAATGCTCCTATATTTAATAAGCTGTTTTGACTGACATTCAAAGTGAAAGTAAACATTTCTGTTGTCCTAGCAGTAGAAAATGTGACCCTGATCTGTAACCCCATATCCGACCAGACAAAAATGTGTACTCTGTTAAAATCTGCAAATTGCCCAGACACATTGGCACAAGAATAGCTCTGGTTCCCCTGCAGTCAATAGCAGAAAATCTCATTATCTCTAATGGAAATACCTTTGACTAATTTTATTTGGAAAGAAGGTGCTGGAGGGTGGTGTCTGAACACCAGCATAACAAACCTGTTACATAGTGGCGCAGCTACTGGGCAAAATTACTTCTAGTTCATTCTTTTCAACCATTCCACCACACAATTAGCCCTTGGAGTGCTTTGTATCCAAAGAACATGCTGAATATGGACAAGGAGGTAAGCACAAAGCAGTTGAAATACCATTAACATGAGTGATGCTTATAATTGGCTTATGGATGCCATGATCCTGTGGGTCAGACTTTCTTGAATGACCTGATAAAATTTAGGTTGCTCCTGAGGACTCTGTCAAGGTTCCCTGATGTCTTGCCTGTAAGAACTTCAAGCAAGGCACACACATAACCTTCTTAACTGCTCCAGGAACCTTGGAAACAGGGGTCAGGCCTTTCTACCAGCACCACAGGGAGACCTGGACAAAAGTACTTCCTTTGGTGACCACTCTTTCCATCCTGGGGCACATGGATACAAAACACACACAGATACAACAATAAATACTGCATCAAAATAGTGAATATTTCCAGAGAATTTCACTAAATAAAAAATGAAATCTAACCCAGCAGGGACCCCTGACAGATCTCATTCTCTTTTAGTTCTGTTTTTCTTCCTTTGTCACATCATCTACCCAAATTCAAATCTGATGTAGACTTACAAAAACTGCTCCCACTTGCTGTGGTGCTCAAATGGCAGCCTGTCACTTCCCATGCATTCTCATTAATATATCTCATCACCAAACTTTCTTTACAATTAAATCCCAAATATTTGAAAGTAAAAATGACTGAAGTGAACAGCTTGACTGAAAAAAGTATAAGTTCTCCCATTTCTGCCAGCATAAATAGGAACATATGTGCCCTTTGGAGGCTGGAAAGTTCACTGTAAAAGTTCCCTAAATCTTCCTGGTTTGAATGGAGCAGACCAGACAGTATAATTCAGAGGTTTCATTTCCACTTTCATTTCAGCATTTCTTTTTTACTAACTACCCCATTTCCTGAATCATCTAAAGCAAACTGAGCAAAATGAAAACTATTCTGGAAATCTACAAATCAGTAGATAAAAGAACAGGTTGATCAATTTGCTAAGATGAAATGAGGCTGTTTTCAAAGAATCAGATAGCAAAAATGCTTATTTTTACAGCAAACTTCAGTGATCCCAGGATTTAAGAACTCTTCAAAAAAACCCAGGTTTATGATTTTCCTTTTTTTTTTTTTTTTTTTGTTTCTTTTTTTTTTTTTTTTCCCAGTTTTATTTTTCCAGTCAGTGTTACTGTGAGTGCTGGTGAGAAAATGTTTTTCCCACCTTGGAAAGGACAATGATTCAAATACAAAAAATATGTCCCAAATGTTAGCTGAATTTAACTCTAGACTTTTAAAGCTCCTGTGAAGCTCTTGTGGTCTCCTCAGCAGGGAAACAAAGAAAGTGCATCATCTGCAAGCAAGTCCTGCCAGAAATTTCAGACAATAGGGCAGCATAAGTCCAAAAGACAAGTCAGTTTTAGGTCTTGTGTATTTCTATTGTAGTTTTGAAGTAAGTGCTGTTCCTCAGTCTAAAGAGAGGCTGTGAAAGCTCATGGCTTCTCTGGTTTAGTTTTTTTTTTCTTGTCAAAGACCAGCTCACATACAGCCAAGAGATGAATGAAGTTTCCCCAGGCTCCACCTAACACTTCAAATGAAGGGCCACCTTCTCTCTCATGGACAGAATCATCAGCATTAAAGGCATGCTTTTGATGCACTGACAAATCACCTGCCATCAGATGGCTGTTTATCTCATAGAAACATTACATTTTTCATGAAAGTGGCTTTTCTGCTTAAATAATAGGACTGAGTCGTATCTTAGTGTGGAAGGATAGAATGTAAGAAAATATAGTGCAGAAGGAGTTGCAACACCTGAGGAGTTGCAGTTGTACTCATCACCAAAGATTAGGAACAGGCCTGCCCTTAATAGGCCACAGCTGTGTCCAATAAGAAGACGAGTGCTACAAAAGAGTGGGTTAGCTGGGTGAGGGGAGACATGGAGTTTGTTGGATGCACTCTGAAGAGAGATGGAGTTGGTGCTGTGAAGAGCTGCACTTGAGAAATTGCTGAGAAGGTACGGAACTTTTGAAGTAAGACAGGCAAATAATTGCATGGAATAATTATATGAAACATACAGCTGGTATCCTTAAAAAAAAATTTGACTTCAAAATACGGGGCTTGACTGCTGCATTAACTGAAGGACAGCTGCAGGACAATTGTTTCTGCAATGTCAGACAGGCTTTAACATAAATGAAAATTAGAAGAAGGATTTGCAGTGCTTACCAGCACACTGGTTGTTTTCATCCAGCTGGAAGCCGAAGCGGCAGATGAGGGGCCGCGTGGCCGTGGGGTAGTTGGGGACGGGGCCGGGGGCTGGGGGTGGTGGGTACACGTTGGAGTAGGGGCTCAGGTAGGGTGAGCGGTACACGGGGTTTGTGCGGGGCACGCACAGGTAGCCCCCGTTCTGGTTCACACACACCATGTCTCCCCTGCAGGCCTCGGGAATGGTCCGGCACTCATCAATGTCTGCAAGGAAATTGCAAAGGTTTAAAGAGTGACTGCTCCTTAATGGGACCGGTCAAAAAATAATTCGTGTCTTTATTGCATAACATTGCAAAAAAAAAAAAGTTATATTCTCCATCAAATGGCTAACCCTTCCTTGTGGAGCCTCACTTTGAAGTTAGATTGCACTAAAACAGAAAACATCTTTTATATTCAACATATCCTGTGATCTACCCATACTATTAGAGTAGTAAAACTGCTCTAGAACTCTAGAGTACTCATACTATATCCTCTAATACTAGGACTACTATATCCTCTAATATGATATATATTATTCCTCTGTCCTCTAGTACTATGAGCACTCTAGAGTACTCATACTATTAATGGATAGAAGGAGAGGATAAGGCCTGCTTTACTATTCCATAGAAGTTTAGTTTAGACCCTGATTTACACATGGCTGCAGCATGCTACTGCCTGTTCCTGCTGGAGGGTCTGTCCAAACCACAACATGCAGATCAGGATTTCAGAAACTGATGGTTTGGTCTGCCCAGCTGTGAAATTTGGATCCTGCTTTGGAAGTCTCGGTTCCCTCCCTCCAAGTTAGGGATGCTCGGATCTGGGGACACAGTTCAGGCCTCTTGCTTTGACTGAGATTGTGGCTGAATTAAATTTAGAAGGACATAACTGCTTTAGCCAAATTGAGCATTCCCCTGGTTTTTGGGCCACAGAAACAGTAGGCTATAGTAGAACAAACAATCTGCTGCAGGTTTTTCCTTTTCTGTCTGGGTGACTTTATGGCATGTAGAAGATGCTGCCCTGGAGACTGAATGCCATTGACAAAAAGGTGCTGCTGGGCAAAGTGCAGATTTCCTTAAGTACCAGCTCAGTTTACTTGGAGTTTGAGTTTCTGAGAATGGAAGGCTTTATTTAAGCCTGCAGGTGGAGACAGGCAGCAAAGACAATAAATCCTGAGTTTGAAGGAGAAAGAGAAGGAGGGTGAACAGCCCATTTTCTTTGGCAGCTACACTGAGCTCCTATCAAAATGCATCATTGTTGTTTGAGTAGCCCTGACAGCCTGTTAGTATCTGAACAATGTCAAAGATCAGTGCTATGTAATGACACACACACACATATTTTTATATACACATTTGTTGTATATACAGGTATACAAACACACATTTATCACACAGTGAGAAATTTTCATCTAAAACATAGTAGGAGCACCACAACGTTAACTCAATAAATTCAGGATTTCTGAACCCAAATTTAAATATATTGATTTAATCAAAGTCCTACCTAAGCATTGCCCAGAGGCACGGTCCAGGTCAAACCCATTAGTGCATTGCTGCTAAAATGAGAGAAAAAAAGGACACTCAGTGATGGTGAATGAGAGATTTGCAGAGTCAAATGCTCATCTGGATCATTATGATTAGTACAATTGTTCAGCAGGGTACAGTACATCAAAATAAAGCTCCTTCCCCAGAGGACAGTCAGCAAGCCATGACCCTGAGGCCTCAGCACAGGTTCCAGCCCCTTAGCTCAGGAGGGGCACCCTCAGGGATGGCAGTGTCAGGCTGTTCCTCTGCCCAGGGGCCCCCAATGAGTTATGAGTACAGGGGTACAATGTGTTATGGGTTGTTAGCACAGAATTACAGTTTTCTAGTTTGGGGTTTTGGTTTTGCCAGAACAGGGGGGTTCATCTGGAAGGTCCTTGTTACATCTCCCACAGGCTCTGAAGCTCCCCTGACAGCCCATTCAGCACACAACACGTCAGGCACTGACTGATCCAGAGCCACAGTTGAAGGGTAACAAGCTTAAAAAAATAAGACTCTTCCTTTCCACCAAACTTTGCAGTTTTTAGAGGATAAATCTTTATACAACATGTCATAGGCATTTAAAGTTACTGGAAGCCTTGTTCCTTCCTATTCTGCTGGTCATGATCAGGGCTGCAGCCTTGAGTCTTCAATACCTCCTCAGTGACCTCAGCATCTCTAAATTGGTGAAAGTCCTGGTGATAAAGGTTTCAAAGCCTGTTAAAATGATTTTCTGCTCTTCCTAGTTTTTGACAGAGCCTCCAGCTATTTAGCAAGGGGCAAAGCAATTGACACAAGCACAGGATCTTCCAGTAAATGGGTTGTACTAGGCAATGTAAGCAAGAGATATCCAGGAAACAGGAACCACTGAAGCCACCAGAGGGCACAGGGATGGTGTGTACTCAATACCCTTCCTTTTTTGTCGTATCTTAATGATAGAGATATTTTTGGACTTCATGAGTGGCAGATTAAAGCACTTAATTGATGTTTGGAAAAGTAGTAAGTTGTAGATGGGAGACAAAGGGTGAAAGGGGTGAGTCAGTGGAAGTGGGTCATTGCAGGAACCAGGGACAGGACTGAAGCAAAACACATGGCACTGTTTGGACTGCACCTGCCACTTGCACATATGAATACACAAAACCCCTGCTAGAAGTGTCAGACAAGTATGGAGGAATTCTGCCTTCATTTGTTTTGCCATTCCAAGATGTTTTGGTATCATGTTGTGGAAAGCCAAGATATTCTAATGGGAGAATGTATAATCGCCCTCATGTTTTAAAGAATGTATGTACTCTACCTTTTGTTCTCCCTTTTGTGTGCCCACACTACACCTAGGCTAGCTGGAAAAGCTCAAATAGTTAAGAAAATTATTTTGTTTTGGTCAAAAAATGGCGATTCAGAAACACTGAAACTATAGTAGGACTGGTTTCAAAAATTTTCTAGAACTTTATTCTAGAAAAGATTCCAATATTGTCAAAATTACCAGTTTCAGTATCTTCAGAAAGAAGTCATTGCTGTTGTTTCAGCTTAAAGTTGCTTTTTCAAAGCAACTTCAAAAATCAATTTATATTACAAGATGTTTTTATAAAATTCTAATGTAAACAATATTTTTTAAATTATAACAACAAACCTTTAAAGACATCTCAAAAATTCTCCAGGGGCATGAAAAGCATTTCCCATACAGATCCAATAATCACAAAAATATCAATAAGCATGACCAGTGCAGGAATTTTTCAATGTAATAGAAAAAAACCAACTACATTTCAGAGGTTTTTGGCAAAGGTATTTAGAAACACTGCTCTGGATACCAAATATATCTGGACTATTAACTAGAGATCCAAACAACATGCCTTTAGGAACAGTTTTTCCCAATTTAAAGTTACTTGGAGCCTGAGCATAAAAATAACTAATGATTCTGCTATTTCAAGAACTGGACTGCTTTACTTCCATCCACTCTCTTGAACAGAAATGGGTTTGGGCATAAATGAAAATAAAAACTGGGATGCAGTCATTCAGGATCACAGTCCAAAATTAAACAGTCTTAAGACTTGATCCTGCTATCCAGAAAAGATGTATTTCTATGAATGAGTTCTCCAAATATGGATGTTTCTCACAATGGAACTGAGCAGTCTCTGGTTTCATGGCATAGTTTTTCTTATTTCCTGTTCCAGAAGTGTTCAGTTTAGAGGCAGAATCAGATTTTCAGCGAGGTCCAGGTTTCTACAGGGATATTTTGCTGAGCTGGCAAGGATGAGTCAATAAGCTCAATCCATGTTCAACTCCAGAATCCTGCTGGCTCCAAGTTCTCCCCTCTAAACCCTTAGACCACACAACTTCCTTTCCATGTAAACCCCAGACCACAGAGCTTCCTATCCACCTGCTAGCCAGTTAAGTTTCATGCCATATAGCACTTGAGTACAAACCAGTACACACATCTCTGCATGCACCTCTCACCTGTGCTTTTCCAGGGCTTGAAAGGCAGACAGCCAGTGTGAAAGCAGTCAGTATCCTGTAATGTGCATAGAAAATAGGCTGAAAACCTCCTGATATCCAGGCTTGTTACAAAGAATTAAATACACATGGACAAATTAATTTTTAGTGACACTTCAGTGTATTCCAGTTTTGCTAACGTGAATTTGGCCTTTGGAGAAGGAGAAATATAACTGTGGGCCAGATTCAGGTCTCAAAGCAATGACTCTGATGGTACTGGGATTGAAACCAGACTGCAAATGTCTATGGACTAATCTGATTTTTATGACACCCTATGCAGCAGCTGTTAAATGAACAAGTGTGCAATATTCAATAAAGTGGCTTTCCCCCTCTCTGGCACCTTTCTTTTGCAAAAATGAAGGCTTCTCTTGCACACTGTGCACGTTTTACAGATGGGTAAACCCAAGCAAGGCCCTGCCTAAGCTCACAGCGTGAAGTGTTGGCAGGGCTGCAGACGTGTCACGCAGGAGGTCCTGAATCCAAGCCAGCCGCTCCAACCGCTAAACCGCATTTCATCCCCAGAGGCTCTATCTGAGATGAATCCATTTGCTTGGGGCCAGATTCTGTCCCTTTGCTCAGCCTTGAAGGAGGCACACTGTGCCAGGTCACCAGCTACCAGAAGCTGTTCTCTTCAATGGAGCCTTCCCCAGGTACATCATCTTCACATCTAGTGCTCCCTACTGGCTCTCTCTCCACTGCAACTGAAAGACAAGGCTCCCTCACTAAAAGAGCCCTACATCTATTTTTGGAGCTCCTTGCCTGGAGCGTAAAAATTATGGTCAAGTAACCTTCCACCTCCAAATATTTCCTAACAGATAGAAAACCATGAAAGCACAGTCAGAAACTACTTTTTTTCTGGTCTTGTGGATTTCATTCTTTTGCTGCTGATTTATATAAAACTTCCTAGTACCATTAGATCCACACTTTGCTTATCTTGGATTGAAATTCTAAATGGCAATTGGATACAATACATTCCCACAAAACCAGTACAGGAAGCAGGGGATATTTTAGGTAGCCTTAGTTCTGCTACCCATGTGAGCTGCCAACTTTCTCTCTTAGAGCTGTCCCTGATTTCCAGCGTGCAAACTGAGCTGCTGAGCAAGACCTACAAATGCATCAGACAAAACCACACACAATGACCGACGCATTACAACAAATTTGACCAGCTCTGAAAAGTAAACATAAAACCCTAAAATGGTTGTTCATAGTGCTGTGGAGACAGATTGTGCTTGTTGGCAACTTTTGAGTGACAAGAAAAGGCAAATTCTGCCTGTTCTAAGAGTTTTCCTTAGAGTTCAATATAAAGCATTCAAACTACAATTTTGTCCATTTAGGCTTGCATTTTTTGATTTTATTGATTCCTCACATCTCTTCAAAGAGATTTTAAAGTGTACATTTCTATAAAGACTGCATACTCACTTTGCATGGAGTGAGAAAAAGCATTGGGAAGGAATACAACAGGTTATAGCAGAATACTGACATATGCAGCAACTGGGCTGTGCTGCACATTGCTGCAGGACAGTGCACGATAACAAAATCCCCCATAAAACAGCCAGACAAAACTCAAACATTTTTAGACAGTCTTTAGTTTCCTTTACTACAAGATGATATATTCTTTCCTTTTGGTGGGGGAGCAACCTTACTGCCTCATATGTGTTCTGTCTGCACCCATGATCTCAATTTGCTCGTTACTTTAGATCTAAAATCCCCTCAAGAATTATTAACAGACATGCAGCACAACTTATCAACACTACATGCAGCTGGTCACAGTAGCTTGCCCAGCAGGCAAAATATTTTAAACCAGCAATTTTCTGCAATAGTAACTAATTAACTTCAATCAATCACTGTAGCCAGTGGGATCGTGGCTGCTGCACTTCAGCACTGCCGCAGATGCGCAGAGTATAAGCACAGATCTAGAAGGAACTCGTCAGAGACAGCACAGCTTTAGTAACAGGCAGATCATCTTTCCCCACCTCTGACCATTGAGATCCCTTTGCAAATGGCTTTTGCAAGTGGATTGGCATAACATGTCCCTGCCACAGCTATTTTCCACAAGCAGGTTTCCCGTCAGTAAGCAAAGAAGTTTCATGCATACCACTTACCTTCTTAATCCTTGCATGTCCAAAGCCGTTGGGGAAAGGTGAAAAAAACCCAGAGTCTGTGCTGATGAATAACTAGAAAGTTTTCCAAACATTACCCTCTGCTAGCACTTCAGTTCCTCTGTCATTTATAGTCCAAAGAATGAAATGGCAAGTAATGGAGAAGATCGGGAGCCGTCTGTACCTCCTCAGACACTGGAGAGAATACAGAGAAAGCACCTGGTTTTGCTTAGTTCTCTTCTGTAATTCAGCATTAAACCAATTGGAGGAGGAATGTTAAAAATGAACACTTCATTTTCTAAGTATGTTAAACAATGCAAATGGGGGCCTCAGCCTGGGACAGCTGGTTTAGATTACAAAGCTCACCAACTGGCTAGACTCCTCACAACAACCTCGAGGAGCCTGCCAGGATAAAACACTAACAGCTTGAAGGAAAGCCTCTCCCGCTGCAAACTTCACAGTTAAATGTGCCTCAGAGCAGAGAGCACCGTTATTGGACAGAAAGCCTTATCAAGGGACTGGAGAAGGGAAGGGATTGTTTTCCTTGCTCTGAGAACAAAAAAAGTCAGGGTTTTTTGGAGGCCCTCTAGCTGGTGTCCTGGACAATGAATATGCAACACTCTCTGCTCTGTGCCAATGGCATACTGATGAAAGGTCTGACCCTCTGGGAGGTGAATAACTCGAATTCATGATGATCACAGCTACAGGAACTATATTGCTTGGGGATTATTTGAAAACAGGAATAAACAAATTAAACATTCAAAGGAAAACAAATGGCTTGTCTGCAAACACTGGCTCTTTTTAAACTGACCCCATGCTTAAGGGAGCAGTTTATGATATGAAATATTTCTTCAGGAAAAGCATAACTTGCAGATCTCCAGTTATGACTAAAGAGGAAGGAAATAAAGTACTTTTTCAGGTGTTTTGCAACTTTGCCACAGGCAGAGCTTTAGTAGGTCAAGAAGAACATTTATGGGATGTGAAAGGTAAGCAATCAGACACAGCAAAGATTACAGTGGATCCAAAGATGAACACTGAAATGAAAGACAGACAAGGACATTAAACAACTACTTTGAATTTCTGTTGAGTGTCCCATTTGAGAAAACCCTTTATTTCTAAGGAACCTGAAATTATTATCATACATCTCTGTGTAACAGATTGAGAAACAGAATTACAGTTGATATAACAGATAATAATAAAAGTTGCCTCTAAGCCTCAAAATCCAGCTTGAGATACCAGGACTGAGCTGCTTTAGAGGCGCTGAGGCCCCACAAGTTGTACTGGAGCCAAAGGGAAGCTCAAGACCTCTGTATCTTGTTAACAGGCTGTAATGGTCCAAATTACCTTTCAAAAATGACAGCACCAGAGGCTCCAGGCCATTTCTGACAGTTTATCTCTCAGTGAATTGCTTGCATCACTTGAATGCATGGAAAATTAAACACTCACCTGGAATCATTCAAACAGTGCCTATACATTGGCAGATAACAAGAACCAATTTACTTACTTTTAATAAAGTTCCCAAAAGCCTAACAAAAACTTGCACAAGGGACTTCTGAAGAAGCTGCAGGGCACGTTGTGAAGTGTTTCATGGATCAGAAAACAGGAAAGAGAGGCTAGAAAGCAAAGACCAGGACAATTTTCATTGTGGCAAATGTTTAACAGTGAGTATTCTCACTGCTCCATACCACCAGAGTTTCTCAATACACTCAATAACCTGGAGAGCTAACAGATCTAAGAGTAGCAATGCTTACTGTATGTTAGAAGTGTGAAAAATCTACTGAAACAATGAGAAACGGCTTTACAGGAAAGCAAATGCTCTGTGCATCCAGCTGTGTGGACAAAGAACTTGCTTCATCTGATAATACTTCACTTGCTAATCCACTGAATTTTTCTACAATCACATGGTAAAATCATTGCATGCATGCCAGAATCACTGTATGAGTGCAGCACCAGTCTGCTCCCAAATAGTTGCCTCAGAGTTCTGATCCATCAGCCAACTGGCAGAGGTGCTCCAGCCCTGGAGACGGGAGGTGAATCCAGATCTCACCACCTAAGGGGCTCCCTTAAGAAGAAATACTGTACAAATGTTTTGATTTTTCCTGTCTCCATCTGACAGCTGGAGTGGATAAAAACCAGAGTATTAAAAAGTGTACCAAACCACAACCTGGGCTAGTTTACAGCTTGGTGACTGTTATTTTTCCAAAATAAAAGGATTTGATGTTGTGGCTAAGTGGAATTTCTGCAGTACCTTTCTGTAACTACCATCAGTCACAAAACAATCAGATGCAGCCACAGCTTTTCATAACTCTGTTTGGTATGAAGGGCTGTATAAAGGAAGGGTTTTGTGGTGCATAAGCCTCCTTTTGTTCATCCTATAAAAATGAACAATTTGATACACCTTTCAACACCCTGTGCTGACACCTTCAGCATTTATGCTTAAGACGTTGGCTAAACTTCATGTGTAGTGGTGCTCTCACTTCAATGGTCTCAAATATCCCCTTGAATTATAAAATCCATTACTTTATTTAGCTTGCCTTGACGTTGTCTTTGTCTTCATGAGGAGGTGCAGAACTGTCCTCAGTATAAAATGGGGCTCTCTTAAATAACTATGTTCTCACAGTTTGCTTTGTGCATAGCTAGGGTTGAAACCATATCTCCAATTAAGATTTGGATTTTGAAAATTGTGTAATATATGATAAGGGGGACATAAAAAGTGTTGTATAACTTTACTCTCTTTGGATGAGACAACTGCACATGTGAATAGAGCTATGCTTCTGCAGATAAAGCACAGCATTGGATGCACAGTAGCCCTCAGCACTGGAAATATAATCTGACTGATTCTAAATGCTAAGACAAAAGCTGTAAATAGGTCAGGGAACTTAAAAATAGTTAATTACACTTAGCATCCTGAACAGAAAATCTTCCTTGCAGAAACAAGTCTTCCTCTAAGTTTCACAACATTTCATCTCACTTTTTAACTCTGATTTTATTCTTACATTTTTCCAGAACCACATCTGTCAAACACCCTTCTTGGATGTTGTTGTCATTTTTTAAAATTCCCCCACTCTGAACATTTTCAAGAAAATTTTCAAACTGTGAGAAGAGTCAAAGCATACAAGTCTGTGTGGTGGTAGATCTGTGAGCCTGAAGTCATTGAATATGCCAAGTCATAGACTTCTTTTACCCAGCCACACAGACCTAAATTCATTAAAGAAATTTTTCAATAACTGACACTTTAGGCCCTGCATGTCCAAGCTATAGACACTGAAAACATTCATTTTGCTCCTACCAAATCTTATGGAACTAAATGTTTACAAGCAAAAATGGTAAAACAGAGCAAAACTGCTGGGCACTTGTAGAAACAACTGTGTTTTGATAGCATCTAAGCTCTGTGAGATTCACAGGTTGAGCTTTTGCCTGATGTGGAGATTGATCTAAGTGTTCCTGGAGACTGCCAAGTAAGCCAGTTTTTGATATTGTCACATGTTGATGTTTCAACATAGGCAGTGATTTGACACACACATTTCACCCTGCTGCCACTTGAATAGCACCACACAGGAAACATGGCCTCATACCCTAATTCTGCCTGAGAAAGAGAAGGGCTCATTTCTTTCACCTCCCAGGAAAGAACCTCAGTTGCAAACTCCAGGTATTTGGGAAGGGTTGCCTATAATTTTTCAAAGACTACCTTAGATTATCAGCTGAGGTCTGCTTTGCTCACTGTCTGAATTATAATTGCCATCTCATAACATGACTGATGAAATAACCTGTTCCAGATGGCTCAGGCCAGAAGCTCAAAAGCACAGTGCTACACATATTTTCCTTTCCTAGCCAAACATAACACAAGCTAGAATTAACAGTGAAAATTAACATAGTATGTAATTGTAAAGATATCAGTAGTGCTAATTAAAATGTACTGGGAATGTAGGATCCCTGAGATGTCATGAGTTGATCTGCAGCTCGCAGTACAACTTTTAGGAAGGAGAAAATGTAACAGTTCCTGCTGTGCTGCCATCTCTTGGGGCTCAGCTGCCTCAACACTTCCCACCTGCATGAGATATCCATGCAAAACAGAGCCAATACAGCACCCCTCCTTCCTCCTGCGCAGGGATGTCACCTGTCTGTCTGAGCACATGTTCTTTGGGCACAGCACACTGCTGATATCATTGCTTCCAAAGAGCAGCGGGCTGAGCCCCCTGCAGTGTTGTACCAGGTGGTCTCACAGTGCCCAAGCGCTGGAATAAACCCTTAAAATCCTTGGTTTACTCTAATTCTGCATCTTTGTCCTGGCTTCAGCAGGGGTTAAACCACACCACTCCAAAGCTGTACTCTCTGTACAGGTCTGTGGTCACGCTGATACCAGTTTCTAATAGCCAGCTTCTTTCAGGATAGAAATCACCAGTGGAAAACCCAGGCATCACTGTACCCATTCTGAAATGCAGCTACTCTAAACATGGACTAATATCTGACTCCACTTTACTGCTTTGAAAACATTACTTGTCCCTTTGGATAAGGAGGTACATATATCAGGTACAGGTTTTGATAGCAGGTACATATCAAAACCCAAACAGTTTAAAACAGCCCAGTGAACTGCATCTACTGTAAGACAGAGCCATTTCAGGAATATTCTCTTTAGTGAGATCAGGTTTGTTGTTCATGACCATCTGTTTAGCTGTAGTACTTTCTAGGACAGTCTAAGATGCCTGAGGCAAAAAAGAGTAATATTCTTGGAAGAATTCTTCAATATTGTTCAGGGTTTTTTAACCCAATAAAAGTAAGGTAAGCAAGCAAACTAAATTATTACTGTAGCTTTTCCAGGAAAAAATCAGAGCTTTCACAGCATTTTTGGTGTATGTGACAACTCTCAGCAGAGAGTAATAATTATTCATGGCAGTAGTCTGCAACAGCCTGCAACATTCTTCTTGAGTTTTCAATCCTTACATGACTGACATTTGTACTTTTAAAATATTTTCGTGTAAAAATATATGGAACATCATCCTCTACCTAAAGACAAAAGATGCACTTGAGAACTCCCATCTCCCCCTTGGTTGCTCTGAGTATCCAAGAACAAGGTGCCCCAGCCCACTGTTCATATTTTACTTCTTTTTCTGTTGAATCTCAGCATAGCTCTGGTAACTGCAGTTCACATTTTGCCTGAAACAAGACAGATATTTTAGTGTGTTTTTGTTTATTTTATAAGATTGACATGTACATAAACTGGGCTGTAGCCTTCTCTGCATTTTTGTCAAATGGTCTAGACAATGTGGTTGAAAACAATGCTCTTTAATCTTGTGACAAAATGTTTACCAGCTCCTTCTAACAGCAAGCATAAATTCTTTATGGCCCGTTTCAGCTAATAATGACCTACCATAAATAAAGACCTAAAACTCTTAATACTTCTGGACCAAGACTAAAGTCTGTTTCACTGTTGCAGCAAGCCAACATTCAG